AGCACCCTACAGCCCCCAGCCCTGCACCTGCGATGGGGGCACATTCCTCCTGCTAACCTGCTTCTCCTCTGCCCACAGTCCTCATCATGGGAGGCATCGTGGCCACCGCCGGCCAGTTCACCAAGTGGTACTTCGGCGCCTACTCCATGTATCCTGCCACTGCAGAGCCCAGGCTGGGGTCGGGGGCAGGGCTTCTGGGCGCAGGGTGGGGCTGCTGCTGTCCCTGGGGGCACAGCACTAAACAGTTTGCAGAGTGCTGCCCCCATCTGTGGGCCCTTGAGACACTCCACAGCGCTGGGGAGAGCAGGTTGGGGCTCGGTCGCACGGTGGGACTGAGCAGGCAGCAACCTGCCCGAGGCCGGGCGTGGGTCCGCAGCAGGTCCGCAGCAGGCCCATGAAGACTGGCCTGGGAGAGGTGTCAGCAGCCCTGAGGCCTTGGGGATTCCTGGGATCCCCTCCATGCCCGCTCTATCGGCCGTCCCCCAGGGTTGGCCTGGGATCCATCGGAACAGTCTCAGCCCCTCTGGCCCAGCTGTGACAGGCCCGCTGAGGCAGGCATGGGGGGGATGGAGGGCTCATGTGGGCAGCACAGTGGCATACTCTGCTGAGTGACCTCCGGGAAGCAACCTAACCCTCTGTCTTCTCATCTGCAAAGGGGGCTCACTGAGACCCCCGGGCTGTGTGGCGGCTCCTTAACGGCACCTGCAGCGGAGCAGGTGTGTTTGTGTGCCTGCTGGAGTATCCACGCGGGAAGAGGAGGAAGGGATCCACCATGGAGAGATGGTGAGCCCCCAGCCCTGCTCCGGGCCACCCCACGGGAGCACCCCCCTTCCCGGGCCTGCCCAGCCACCGTGGCCCCCCACTCAGTCCTAAGGAGGGAAGAAGCCAAGGTCCTCTAGGGAGGAGCACCTTGTGGGATACAGTGTCTTCCCTCCCCTCTGCCTAGTGGACAGAAGTACATGACCAAAGTGGTGAAGGTGTTCGGGCCTCTCTCCAGGAACTACTACATCCGGGCCTTCCTGCACCTTGGGTGAGCCCCCTGTTCCCCAGAGACCCAAGATGGCCCTAGTATAAACCCTCCCCATCATCTGGATCAAGTCAGGCCCGTCCCCGCCCAGATATGCTTCCAAACAGAAGCCCAGATCCTGGGGTCCTGAGACCTGCTCTGTCATCTGCTGCTCCCTGATGGCTCACTGCGACCCTAGAAGCTTAAATCAGGAATAGACCAGGCTCTCCCGGGCGGCTTTGCTCACTGCCTTGTGTGTGGGTCTGCTGGTCACTGGCAGGGAGGCCACAACACTCACAGCCCTCTGTGGCTATTTGGGCTTCCCCCTGGCGTGGCCCAGGTGCCAGCACCCCAAGAACAGCCTAAAGGGCCCAAGCTTAGAAGCCTAACCTTTGGCGGGTCTGGACATCTCCTCCAGCCAGGGTCCTGGGGACTGCACACTAGTCTGCCTTGTCCCGAGATCCTGCAGCCTTTGATCCTGCAGACCCCTGACCGCCCTGCCACCCCTCCCCAGGCTCTCAGTACCTGCTGGATTCCTGCTGGCCACCATCCTGGGGACAGCCTGCCTGGCCATCGCGAGCAGCATCTATCTGCTGGTAAGTGGTATCCTCTGTGGCCTGCGCTGCGGGCAGAGCCAAGGCCGGCAGCTGGTGTCCTTGCTCACGCCGTATCAGGGCCAGTGATGCTGTAGCCACTATCCCCACGTGTGTAAAGTGTGGCAGCTCCTTTATCGGTGCCTCATCCCTGCAAGGGAGTGCTGAGGTCCCCACTCTACAGACCAAGAGATACAAAGTCAGGGAGGTGACCTGGCTGGCCCAGGGTCACCCAGCTAGCCAAGGCCCAACTGGATTGGGACCCACTCATCATATTTGTCTCATCTAAGCCATCCTTGCTGACTTGGGTGCTGTCAGGGGCACTTCCTAGGGAACTTGTAAACAGCACAGATGCCACCTGGAGGTTTCCCAAGGCTGCCCCGTTGGGTTTGCCTGGAGTTGGGACATAGCAAAGACCCCATTGGAAGGACACCCCTAACCCAATCTTTACAGGAGGGCTGGTGGATACTGGGGAGGATGGCCTGGGTAGAAGCTCTGTGGGGCATGGGCCTTGTGCCCCATGCTTGCCGTCCTCCTGCGCTGCACATTCATCCTTTGCACATATTCTGAGGGAACGGGTGGTGTGTTGTCTGTGCTCTAAGCCGTCCTGCACCTTAGTGACCTGCCCGCCGGCCCCTCGGTGCTCCCCCAATGGGAGCCCACCCTGTTGCTGGTCTGTGCGTTCAGCTGCTTCCTGCAGCTGGTCACAGGGCACAGGGAGTGTGCATCGCCTGCATCCAGCCCCTGCATCAGGGGCACCCCACCTGGCTGCCGCGTGCTCCCCACCTAGGCTGGCAGGGCTGCTGGTTCCCACTGGCTGCCCGCTGCTGCACCCAGTCCCTACCCGTTTGTCCAGGGGGCCTTTGTCTTTTCACTACTGACTTGCGGGAACCTCATGTATGTTTTAGTTGTGAGTATTCCGTGAGTGAAGGTCAGACCCCGAATACTTTCTCTGCCTCCGTTAAGGGCCTGTGAGCTTGGTGTGAGAATCTCCCCTGGGCAGAGAATGTGAGCGGATCTGTTAGCGTTCTGGTTTGTGCCATGTCTCTGTGCACTCTCGGGTCTGCTGCATGGTCCTTTTTTCAGGGCAGGTGTCCTAGTTTTCAGGTGAGAAGGTGGGACTGCAGATGTTCATTTCATTCTTCTGCTTCATGAGTGACGTGATGTCACACTTTTTCTATGTGTCAAGGGCCGTGGGATACAAATAAAAGAGCACACATTCCCCCGCCCTCCTGGCTGTCCCCGTCCCCTCTACCCCCCACTCCCCCGCTGCAGGTGCCTGGCCAGCCAGACTGTGCGTGATGGATTCCCAGGCCTGGCCTCATGCCCTAGACCCTGTGGGGAGGCCTGAGCACCTGGAGTGGGCTCCAGGTTGCCTGCCCCCATGTGGGGTCCCTGCTGGAAAGTGAAGCAGCTGAACTCTGAGGTCCTGGCTGTCACTCCAGACATAGTGGGCTCAGACATGGGTCCCACCCTGTTCCTGGGGGCTGAGTTGGGGGAGCACTATCCGCCCAGCTCTGACCCAGCTCCTCCAAATCGTGCAGGCGGCTTACCACGGAGAGCAGTGGATCCCCATTGAGCCCCAGCCCAAGGAGCGTCCGCAGGTGGGTGGCACCATCAAGCAGCCGCCTAGCAACCCCCCACCGCGGCCGCCAGCTGAGGCCCGGAAGAAGCCCAGTGAAGAGGAGGAGGCGGCAGGTGCTGTGGGGGTTTCTGGTGGCCCCCAGGAAAACCCAGTCCCAGTGATTGATGAGGTTGTATGAGTAGCATCTCTACTTGTTCCTCAGGGAGCCCGCAAAATAAACCAAAGAGAGCAGACTCCCTGAGTCCCCGTGTGCATCCCACTCCCAAGCCAGGCATCTCCTTTAGCACTTCTCAGCCTGTCTTTCCCCCTGCTGCCTGGCCCAACAGGCCTCGGCCAAAGCCGCCAGGCTCCCGCAGCCCAGGACAGATGCCACCCATGCCACACCAGCCACTGCAGCCACAGGGATGGCCCTGCCCAGTCTGGGCCCTGCTTGGGCTGCTGCCTCTGCCTAAAAGACTGGTCCCTATCCTGGTGGCCTCTGGACCCCCCTGCCCTCTCCTCTCCGTCCCCAGCCTTCCTTCTGGTGGTTCTGCAGTATCTGTCACCTGTGGGGCTCTACTCTTAGCCCAGCCATATGGTGGAAACTCAGTAACATGCTGACCAAAGCATCCTTCAGACCCCAGACAAAGGTCACTCGTCCCCACTTCCTGGGTGTTTGCTTGCACACAGTAGGCCTTAATCAGGGGTGAACATGGCTGGTCAGGCAGGGAGGTGCTGAAAGCTGCCTTTAGGTGGGCTGGGGAAACAATCTGCGAAGGGGGTTGGAGCCCAGCTGGAGCTGCCCAGTACGTATGGCTGCTGAGGCCACACACACGTGCCCACTTGGGCTCCGATCCATGACGCTTTGCAGACTGGGATGCCCGGCCCAGGGGCTGCCCCTGGTGTGCCAGGTCACTGGTGGCAGTAGAAGCCCCAGTGGCCTGGCCTTCACATCTGCCTGGGTCAGTGGTGGGGCTGTGGGAAATTCAGACGCTTGGAGGGGATGGTGGGCTGCACAGGTGTGTCACTCCAGAGCTGACCCCCGCCCCGGGGCTTTACCTCAGAGACTGCCCATGGGGCAGAGGTGGGTGCCCTTGGTGAAGGAGGGCCTGCCAGCATTGCGGCCAGACTGTGAGCCCAGCCCCTCCCCAGGCACCGGGGCCAGCGGGCATGCCTCCCACCCTGGGTGCCCTGGGGGTGCACGCACAGACATTTCTGGAAGGACCCTGGGATCTGGGGCCAGTGGCTGCCCATACAGGACCAGCTGGCAATCAAGGACCAGGCAGGGGTGAGGGGAGGAGGGGGCCTTCAGTCACTGGACCCACTCTGCTGTCGGACGCTGTGCTCTGGAGGCATTTGTCAATTTAACAACACATTCACGCACATTCTAAAATAAATAGTTGTTTTAGAAGTACAGGGGTGCTTGTTCCCCAGGGGCGGGGAGCCGGGACCAGCCTGAGGCCAGTGAGGGTGTGAGGGGAGCCCAGGGGACCACAGACGTAGGGGGGACATTGGAACATCTTTTCTGTTGTTTTGCAAGTTCTAGAAGAATAAAAAGATTCCTTCTGGCCCAACTGTTTGCCAGAAGGGTAAACGGAGACTGCAGATGGGTCTGAGCAGCACAGGTCACCTGCGGGCAAGTGGACCCTGCCCTCCAGCATTATTCCTCACACCTGAGGCCAGGAGCCTCAGTACCTGCCCAGGGACCCAGGGAGCAAATAAATAAACAATAAATACACATAAATAGGAGGGGCCCTCTTTGGCAAGACCCCCAATGTCCAGTCTGGGGGCAACCATGCCCCCCAACACAGGTGAATGCAGCATGGGGCCGGGGTCACTACGTGGACCTGGGCAGGACACAGGTGCAACCGATGGGTACGCGGATGAACTCGGCGTGGAAGGAGAAGGCCCCTGGCGTGGGCAGCCCCGTGGTGTCCCTGGAGCAGGGCCGGCGGCGGAGCACCAGCAGGCTCTGCAGCAGCGGCACCGAGTTGAGGGCAGCCGTCTCCCGGCCTGTCCTGGCGCTGATACAGCCCCTGCACAGACACTCGGCGAAGGCCAGCTTCTGCGGGTAGCGGCTCTCGTCCGTGTCCACACTGTGGGGACAGACCGCGTGAGGCCCCTGTCTGCAGCCCTGTCTGGCCCACGTGAGCCAAGGAAGTCAAGCAGTGGGGCCGGGAGCAGGGGTGAGGCTCATCGGCACCCCCTGCCCTCCCAGAACGGCCCCTGCCCAACCCCCAGCCCAGCCCACCTGCCTCAGGGACCCTGGGAACAGAGCCACGCTGACATCCTGCAGATACCAGCAGCGAGGAGGAGCTCATGTGATAGGACCCCCCTCCCCGCCTGTGGGTGACCCTTCGTCTAGCATGTGAAGACGTGGGGGCTCAGGGGAGGAGCTGGCCCGATGCTGTGGAGCAGGTGCCCCAGTACCACGCACGGGGTCCCGCAGCCCTCACCGGTATCTCCAGGGGGAGATGGAGCGCTGGTGGATGTCAGCTTCCAGGACCTCCTCAGGCTGCAGCACTGGGCACTGCGCCCCAGTGGAGGGACCATCCTGCTGCCTGCCTCGGCCCCCTGCCTCCAGGCTGGACACCAGGGCCACGGGCAAAGCCTGCTCCCACTTGGCAGCTCGAGCCAGCAGATGTGGCGGGGCTTGACCCCGGGGAAGCTCCTCGGCCGAGTAGCAGCGTGGGGTCCCGTGGGTGTGGAGGCCCCTCCAGAGCTGGGGGCTGTGGCGGGCCAGGCTGGCGGGCAGCCAGAACAGAAGCAAGAGGCGGGGGAGGAGCTGGTGGACAGGCATTGGGCGGTCAGGTCAGGGGGCACACGGGGAAGGGAGAGCCCCTGCCCTCCCAGCTTGCCCTGGTTACTGTGCAAAGATGGGTTGTGCCCCTTCCTCTAAAGTTGGGGATACTGAGGCCCAGAGGGAGACTGGGTCCTCAGCCCACGCTCCCCAAAGCCCCAGGGCTCCTGGGTCCCCTTCCCAGATTTGGGGCTTCTTGGGCCCTGTGCCAACATCCTCTGCTGAGGGGCAGGAGGGCCACCTGGCGTGGGGTCAGGGGGCAGGGGGAGAGGCAGCGGCTCACCATCGCAGCAGCGGCGCTGGGCTGGCAGAGGCAGGTGCACCTGGAGGCTGTGGACCTGGAGGCTGCTGGCTCCTGGCGCCCTTTATACCTCCAGCCACACCTGGGGAAAATCCGGGACAGCTTCCTCCTCGGGAAGTGCACGGCTGCGCTTCCTCCTTCCTTCCCCGTGGGTCCCCACTGTCCCCTCCTCCCCACTCAGGGCCACAGTGCCCACCCCCACTCTTCCTGGCCCTCCCCCGCCCAGAGGGACCCTTGCCTGGGCTGAGCACCTGCCAATGGAGCGTGGACACTGGCAGCTTGTTTGGGCTGGGAGGTTTCTGCTGCGTGGAGCTGTGAGCTGGGGCAGCTAGGGCAGCTCCCATCCCCACCCTGCGTGGACTCGAGGGCCGGCTCCCCAGGTGTGGACATGAGGTTGGTCCCGGTTTTTATCTAAGATGGTCCAGGAGGGGCACCTGTGTCTGCCTCCTGCTGCACGGGTGCGGGAGAGTCCAGAGAGGCTCTGGAGGCAGAGGACCAGCCAGCGTCTTCAGATCTGGGTTGGGTTTCTACCGATTTACTCAACAAAACCTCTCCTAGAAGCCAGAGATGGGGCGAGAATGCCTTGGAAACTTTCAAGTGGCTGCACCTCGAGAAGCTGGATTTGAGGAGCCCCTTCTCGGAGCTGTGGGGGTCATGGGGGGCCGGGGCCAGGCGCCTTGGTTATCCTTAAAGGGACAGTTGGAGGCGAGCCTGTGAAGCTTTGGGTGCCACTCCCTGGGTCCCCCGGCCACCCCTAAGACCCTGTGTGTCCGGGTCTCTCCTATCAGAGTCTAAAGTATCCCCCAGCAGAGGAGGGTCTGAGGGCAGGGGACTGGCCAGGAGAGGCACCATCCAGGGACATGAAGATATCCTGGAGCGGGGCTCTCCCAGGTGCACCTCTGGGCAGGGACCCGCCCTCCTGGTCCTTACAGGAGTCTGCACCTGCAGGCAGGCTGTCCTGTGCCCCTCTCCCGGGGGCAGGGCAGGGCTAGGGGAGAATGCTCCTTCCTGGAAGACGGATGGATAGCTGCTTGAGTGCCCAGGGCTGCTCCTTCCTATGATGCCCCTGTCCATGGTCATCAGCCCTCTGCTTGCATACCTCTTGCAGTGGGGAGCTCACCACCCCATGCATGAGTTTGGTAGGGCTGCTCTAACAAAGCACCACCCACCGAGGGCTTAGGATGCAGATGTGTTCATTGTTCTGGAGGCCAGAGTCTCCAATCAAATAGTTGGCAGGGTCAATTCCTTCTGGGGTCTCTGAGGGATCCTCCTGTTCCCACCTCTCCTAGCTGGGACTGCTGGCAATTCTCAGTCCCTTGTGGCCACACTGCCTCGTCTTCACGTGGCCTCTACTGTGGGTCTGTGTCTTCTCAGGACACTCACCTCATTCAAAGTGATCTCATTTCAAGCTCTTTACCTCATGACATCTGCCAAGACCCTTCACTCGTCAGAGGGACCAGGTCTAGGACTTGAATGTATTTTGGGGGGTACATGGTTGGGCCCAGGACCCCCATGCAGGGCGGATGCTGGTGCATTGTGGGGCATGCTGGCTCAGGCTAGCTCTTGAGAGGACCCTTCTGAGGCCTAGCTGACAGCTGCCTCCCTGCAGGGGTGCTGGGTCCTGGGGGAGCTCCAGTCCCTCCTGTGTCCACCCCGAGGCAGCGTGAGCCCCCAGAGAGCTGGGGTAGTGGTATGGTGGAGACTCCACCGTTGCAGCACGGAGCAGTGCTTGGCGCCCAGTGTTTCATGAACACAGTGGAACGAAGGGAAGGGGGATGAGCGGGCTGCCCAGGGAGGAAGATGGGGCCCTGGTCTGGAGGCTGAGGGAGGGACACCAGCTGTGCAGTGTGGTCTGGCCTTCCTTCAGGCGGGAGGCCAGGGTGTCTGGCCACACACACACACACACACACACACACACACACACACAGGCATCATTTATGAAATGAAAAGGCTGTAAAATGGTCACTCCTGCCACGGCTGCCAGGGGTGTTCCCCTCCCGCGGGGGCCCGGCTGGACACCAGGGCAAGCGCAGCCCCAGCCTTGCCCCTGCCCACACCAGCTCCCCACGGCGGTGGGGGTGGGTTTCTGAATTTTCTGGGGTTTATCAGAACAGCCCAGCAGGTGGGTGCCGCGCTTGGCAGAGGGACTCTGGGACCAGGCTGTGCCACCACTCTGCTTCATGGCACCATGGGCACGAGCCAGGCCCTGGGCGAGTCAGGGGACCAGGGGCAGGGCCCGGGGGTCGGGGTTCTGGCCGGCCAGCGCGGACGCCGGAAGGATGCAGGGCGGGGGCCCTGGCGGCACCTCATTCCTGCGGGTGGCTGAGGCAAGCACAGAAGTCCCGGGTTGGGCAAGACTGGAAAGGCGCCCTCAGAGGAAGGCTGGAGGGAGTCCCTGAGGCGGTGTCCCCAGGGCCCCGCCCCCTAACCATGCCCCTCTCACCACAGGCCTCCTTCGGGCTGAAGCCCCAGGCCCTCCTGCTGCGTGAGGCTGCACGCTGGCCCTAGAGGGCCAGTGACCACTGCTACTTGGGGGGGGGATCTGGCGGGGGCTGCTGGGGGGAGCCCCTGGGGGAAACTTCTGGGGGGTTGCTGGGGGAGCTGGGGGGGGAACTGCTGGGGGGTTGCTGGGGGGCTGCTGGGGGGCTGCTTGGGGGCCTCTGGGGAAGCTGGGGCAGCCTCTGGGGGGAGCCCTTGAGGGGGGCAGGCAGCTGGCCACATGAGGGCTGCGGGGGCCGGAGGAGGCTCAGGCGCAGTGGGAGGCAGTGCAGGTACTACCATGAATGACCAGAGAAACCCACAGAAAAGTAACTTTCACCAAATGAGCCACCGCATTAGCCTGATGCGTTCACTCATAATGGAGATTGTATCTCGCATTTGAGTTGACAAAAATTACAAATTAAAAAATATAACTTTTTTTTAAGCCACTCAAAAGAGAGGAGGATGGAGGCTGTGGTGGCCACCGAGGCTTTGCCTGGGGAGGACAGGCTGGGGGGCATCAACAGGAGCAGGGTGGTCAGGGAAGGAGTGTGGGAGGGCCCAGGCATATGCTGCGCTGGGGGCCCAAGGGGAACACAGGCCTGGCCAGGACTGTCAAGAGTTCCAGGAACAGGAAACCGGGAACCGGGAGTGCAAAGGCTCTGGGGTGGGGGCAATGGCAAGCAGGTGGGGGTAGGGTGGGTCGGCATGTGTCACGTGGCAGTATTGCCCTGGCTGTGGCAACTGTACTTGGGCACAGGAATAGAGAGCCGTCTAGCAGATGGACAGGCCCTCAATTATCCCCACTATTTGCATGTTAACCTGCAGCCAGGATCTCAGCCATTGAGTTCTTGAGGATCCATTACCTCACAGAGACCTTCCTTATTCCAGATGCCTGGCCCAGAATGTTCTTTTCAGCAGACTGGGTGGGGGCAGGGCTGGTTCTGACTGTGGCCCTTGCCCCTTCCTGGACAGGCACCTCCTGAGTCTGGCCCAGAGGAGCCCTGAGTCCAGATGGCAAGTGCAAACCTGCTAGCCTCAAGCAGGCTGGGGTTGAGGGGACCAGGGCTGTGGCTCCAGCCTCTGTATCAGAGGCCAGTGCCAGGTCAACGGGTCAAGGATAGCCGAGCACAGGCAGCTTTGTGGTGGGCTCCCCACTTTAGAGAGGCCGTCACTGCCCAACTGGGCACAGAGCACCTAAGGACAGATTTGCCCCCCCCACATCCTGGCTTCTGGCTTGGTGTCCTCAAAGGCCACCCACTTGGGAGCATGGGAGTTCCCTTTACACCTGGCTGACACGATGGCAAACCAGATAAGCCAGGAGAAACTGCTGAAACACGTGATCAACTACTATGATGGAGGCATGACGTGAATGTGACACAGAGCACTGTCTACCCAGGAAGCCCGGCAGCACATTGGCCCCCCAGCCTGGGGGCAGAGGCCCAAGTGCACCTGTGAGCCAGATGGACCTCAGCAGGTCACACAGGCAGGGGAGAAGCCCCCAGCCTGGGAGCAGCAGCATGGGCTCTGGGGGGTTTGCATGCCAGCACTTACGGACTGTTTTAAAGCAATCTGAAGGCAGAAAGGCCCTGGGTCTGCTGACTGCAGAGAGTGTGGGGTGCTCTGAGGCCTTGCTGCTACTCTGCGAGCTCCATCCCCCAAGCAGGGGCTGCAGCAGCAGGGCAGCCCGCATGGCCCTCCCCATGGTGGACCCTACAGCATTGAGTGCCCAACAGCTTTGGGGGGGCGGCAGGGTTGGGGGCAGAGCCCCTGTGCTAGAAGCACCAAGGGTATCTCACTGGGGCCTCCCAGGGGCCACATGGGCATCGTGGTGGAGGTGGGGGCCCAGGCCCACGGAATCATCACCACCAGCACAAGACGGCTGTTTATCAAAATACTTTATTTTAGGAGACCCCTCAAAAAAAGACCCTCCACATTAGACAGACGCCCAACAACACCCTCAGCCTTTTTTTTTTTTTTTTGGTCTTTTCTGTATTTTTTTTTCCTTTTTAAATCAACTAAAACAATCTGATGCTTAAAATAAAAGACAGGAAATATTTCCCAATCGGACTTCAGTCAAGAATATATATCTATTTTTTTTTGACCCTGGGGTAGGGCAGGGGTGGGGAGGAGGCTGCTCAGGAGCATGTGGCACTCCCGGCCGGGAAGGAGCACGTGCGGAGGACAGGACTCGGGGCAGGCTGGCTGGCAGAGGGGAGGA